GGGGGGGGGGGGGGGGGGGAGGTTTCTGGGGCTGGGTCTGACCCAGACCCAACTGTTCTTTGCAGAGGAAGAGGAAGTCCCCCTTTCCCCCACCTCCAATCCAGCCGGGACTAGCAGTTGAGCCCGGGGCAGGTAGGAGCCACCAGCTGGGGCATCCCCATAGGCTTAGTTTGATAGCTATTTTGGTGGGGTGGAGGTGGCACAAGATCGCTTGGTTCACTGGCTCTCTTCACCCCCACCTGGAGTGGTATCTGGGCTGCTGGTGCTGCGGAGGCTGGGGATATGCGACAGTCTGAAGTTGACAATCAACTTCAGACTGTCGCATATTCTTGATGAGTGCCTACTGACTGACAGCAGGGCAGGTTGTGCATAAGCATAGAAGGCAGTGGGGAGGGGAAGGGGCCTGGGATGGGGAAGAGAAGTGGATAGAGGAATGGGGGGAGGGGGGCAGCAGGAGCAAGCGCCAGGAATATTCTTGGCCCAGGGCCCAGCTCCAGCAATGTTTGGGGCTGGGTCTCTCCCTTGGCCCCGCCTTCCGCCCCTGCGCAGCCCCCGGGCCATTTAAAACAGCCCGGGGGCTCCACTCACCACTGGCAGCGCAGCAGAGCTAAGCGGCTTCCTCCCTGCTCGCTCCACATGGCTGCCAGCCCCTCCCTGCAGCCCCTGGGCGGGGTGGGTCTGTGTCCTGCCCCAAGTGCCCCTGCAGCCAATGGGAAGCTGCGGGGGCAGTGCCTGGGGGTAGCAGCACATGGAGACTCCCGGCCTGCCCTGCCTAGGAGCCCCAAATAAGCGCTGCATCCCCCCACCCCCTCCCAGAGCCTGCACCCCCCCTTCAGCTCCCCTCCCATCCCCAAGCTCCCTCCCAGAGCCTGCACCTCCACCCCCAGCCCAGAGCCTACACCCAAACTCCATCCCAGAGCCTGCACCCCAGGCCCCCTCCCCCACCCAAACTCCCTCCCAGAACCCAATCTCTCACCCGTCCTGTACCCCAATCCCCTGCCCCAGCCCAGGGTCTGCACCCCAGACCTCTTCCCCCGACCCAAACTTCCTCCTAGAGCCTTAGGCAGGTGGGGGGGAAGAGTTTGGGGGGAGAGGGGGGCAGAGTTTGGGCACCACCAAAATTTCTACAAACCTGCTACCCCTGCCACCCCGCGCTGGGCAGGGCGTGCCCAGCGCACATAGAAGGGGAAGATGACTGGTACTAGGACCCAGGGGGTTGCATCCAACTGCAATCAGCGAACCGGAGTGCCCCTCCCCCCCCATGTCCTGCCTCTGTTTGGGGGGCAACACCCCCTCTGCCTTCCAAACTATGCCCACAGATGTCCCCAAACTCCCCCCCCTCCCCTAACACGGTGATTTACCTCTCCGCTGGCTACTGTGGGTGCCTGAAACGATGCGCCCATGCTGCTGGGGAGGGGTGCGTGACCACTCTTGCAGATTCCCTTTACTTCCCTGTCAGAGAGTAATTTTTGTGCGGGGAAGCAAAGAAATCTGTGAGGACATGAATTTTGTGCACGCATAGTGGTGCAGAATTCTCCCAGAAGTAAATAATCCACTACCATAGGGGGTAAAAGTATTCAAACTCAAACTGTCAGCATTAAATACTGCTGGATATTTTGTGGATTTTCTGGGGAACAACGCCTTGTAAGAAGGGTGTAAAACATTTTAGCCCAACTGAAAATTATAAGCAATTGAAAACAGTATTAGAATGGAAGCTGTCGTATCCCAAAAGTTCAACACAATGGGCCAGATCCTATGCCAATCTACATCAGCTGGAGGATCTGTCTCACCCTTTATTTTTAATCAAGCAAGTCTAAACACGAATAATGAAAAGGAACTATATAACATACATACCTTTTGAGGAATAATTTTTTGTTCTGACATTTGTGAAGAATACTAGTGGTCTGCTTAGTATAGTTTCTCTGTAGTCTTTATAATCACGATGGCTGGTGAGTTCTACATCCCTGTTAAAAATCAATTACAACATTATTAGCTACTCTCTTTGTAGAGTACATTCTTAAGTATAATTTTATTTTAAAAAAATCTAATTTGATTTCTACTGTTCAAGTTTCCTTTCACATAAAACCATGGAGAAATGCAGAGGCTTGAAGAATGATTCAGTTACTTCATTAAGGATGGAGACCAGCATTTTCAAACTGTAGTGCAGAGGTGGGCAAACTAAGGCCTGCGGGACCCTCCTTCCCGGCCCCTGAGCTCCTGGCCCAGTAGGCTACCCTGGGCCCCTCCCCCACTGTTCGCCCTCCCCCACAGCCTCAGCTCGCTGTGCGGCTGGCGCAATGCTCTGGGTGGCGGGGCTGCGAGCTCCTGGGGGTTGGATGGGGCGGCAGGGGGCAGTTAGGGAGAAGGAGTGGTTGGATGGGGCAGAGGTCCCAGGGGGCAGTCAGGAATGAGAGGAGAAGTTGGATAGGGCGGCGGGGGGCAGTCGGGGCGGGAGGTCCGGAGGCGGTCAGAGGACAGGGAGTGGGGGTGTGGATGGGGCAGGAGTTCCGGGGGGCCTTCAGGGGACAGGGAGGGTTGGATGAGGCAGGAGTCCTGGGGGGGCTTTCAGGGGGCGAGAAGCAGGGGGGGATTGGATAGGGGGCAGGGGCCGGGCCACGCCTGGCTGTTTGGGGAGGCACAGCCTCCCCTAACCAGCCCGCCATACAATTTTGGAAACCTGATGTGGCCCTCAGGCCAAAAAAAGTTTGCCCGCTCCTGCTCTAGTGGCTAAAGCTAGGCATCTAAGTAAAATACATCTGAAAAACCAGGCTATTTTAATTTAGATGCACCACCGTTTGAAAATGTTGCCAATACTGTAGATTTATTTTAAAAAACTCATGGTATTAGGTGTTTTCCTTAATGTCTCTACTTCTGGAATTATGAGATTATGAATGATTCTCAACTTTCATTAAAATAAGTAAGTTTCTAGCCTTCATAGTTGGAGAAAGATTGGAAAACAACCCCAAATACTCAAAAACCAGAAGGTAAATACTAAAAACCCTCTTTAAAAAAAAAAAAATCACATGATTTTGAAGCCAATCTCATGCTTTTGGGGAAACGGACTCATGGGCTGTTGTTTTTTTGAACACTTAGGACTGACAATACTGGATTGCTTTTATGTAATTCCACCTCTCTTTGTAATAAAACTACAAAATGAAATAAACAGTTACAAATATAAAAAGCACGGGAACACTTTTCTTCATCCCCCTCCCTCAAAACAGACTGGAAAATGGGTAAATACAGCTGTTGCTACATGAGATAACAGGAAAAGGAAAATGTTTGGGGACTAAAACAATATAATTACATCCAGATCGGATTCATTTAAATCTCAGATCATAGCCACTGTGAAAGCAGTCATAATAATTTCTCACTATCAGTCTTCTACAGACTGTTGTAAAAAAAAATAAGTAATAGCCTTAGAGCACAAGGTGTGGTCTGTTTTGTAGAATGTATTTGGGCCTTTGTGGCAAGTGTGATTTTAAAATATCTTTTCTAGCCATCTGATTTTTGGAATATATGGCAATGTGTAATTTAAAGTACTGTATTATTTTTCTCCAATTTTTCAGCCCTCAACATGCGATTTACATCTGATTAGCAATGTTTACACTCACGGTGCAGTTTATATGAAAAAAGAAAAAGAAAAATCCTTGTCAAGAAAATACAGACTGCCCTGACTACATGTTTGATACAGCAAAAACACAACTGAAGGAAACACAACCGACTACAAAAACACAACTGAAGGAAAATAAAATACCACACCTACTATACAACTTTTCAGACTCTCATTTTCAGTATGGAAATTTGACTATATTGTAAACAAACTGCTTTTGCAATCATTTAAAGCCGTACGAGTTATAATCAAATATACAAGAAATGTTTCAAATTAAACTTTGTACAATTGACTCAAAGAAAATTGTTACAACCAAGTTATAAATCTCAGAAAATAGAAGCTTAACATGGAAACACTAACAGACCCGCAGCAATACAGCAATGTGAACCAGAGGTATTTTCAAATAATTAAGTTGGGCCTTATCAAAGGCGCTGGAACTAAGGGTGCTACTGCACCCCCTAGCTTGAAGTTGTTTCCATTACATACAGGGTTCACAGTTTAGTTCAATGGGTCTCAGGACCCCCGCTATACAAATTGTTCCAGCATCTCTGGGCCTTATCTACACTTAACAGCCACACTGGTACAGGAAAAGCACTTTTTTTTAAAGTAGGTGGTATAAGATTATTCCCATTCAGTGAATAAAAAGCTGTACCAGCAGAAGTACTCTTTGACCAGTGTAACTGCATCTACACTAGGATTTTTGCCAGCATAGCTATGTCATACCCAAAAAATTACCCCTCCCAACCGAAATAATTATGCCAGCAAAACTCTGAAGTGTAGACCTGGTCTTACTGGTTTTAGGAGATGGGGGGGAGGGAGGGAGAGAAAACTACCAACTTCTTTTTCCTACCAGAACTAAAGAAGTCACTTTTTGGAACATGCAGGGATACATTGCAGGATGCGGGACAGACACAGGAAAGCTGGGTTGGGAGGCAACAGAACAGGCTGCACACTGACATGAGTCACAGTTCTGGCTTAGATCCCTCTTGTGTAGAATTGGGTATTACAGTGGAGTTGGGAGAGTTATTTTTCTCTTAGGAGTTTGTAATCTATTATCAGTTATGTGCTCGTGTGCTCAGCACCTTACAAGACACAAATAAAGAGCCTCTACTAGACATTTATACCATTGTGAGTACAGACAAAAGCATCAACTCCAAATCAAAACTACAAACAGTTCAGGTAATTCATAACACATTAAGGCAAGAAATTTGGGTGCCTACATTTGGGATCCTAAGTCCAAGTTTAGACAGTGGCCTGATTTTCACGCATACTGAGCACTGACAAATCCCACTGAAGTTAGAATACGAGGTGCTCAACACCTTTGAAAATTAAGCCACTAGTACCTTAGTGCCTGAATGTGGATTTGAAACTAACTTTAGGCACTCAGCTTTCACAATTTTGGCCTCAGGTAATTTCCAAAGGCAAGTGCAACCTAAGTTTTGAGAAGAGACAAACCAATTTAACAAATCACTGAGTAGGTGCTTCTCCCTCTGTACTTGAAAGAATCATGTAATTTTTGCATGGTTAGTTTCCTTCCCCAGAAATAGGATCATAGAGATTCCTACATGCAAGGTGCAGAAAGTTTGAGAGCAGATTCAAACTGGGAGGCCACCGGGACATAGGAAGGGAGGGAGAAATGTAAGACTCTAGGAATGAGGAACTCAAAGTACCATTCAAAGTCCACTGCAATCCATAACTGCCCTGCTTATCTTTGTATGCAGTGTTAGACACTAACATTCATGAACTGCACAGAGACACTGGATTTATGGTTTATTACAACCATCTGTAACCCACTAATACCTTATTCTTTGTCCTATGACTGCAGAGGTGTTAACGGACCGCTCCACCTTGAATGGCCCCTTTAGGATATGTGCTAACTACCTATGCTAAACAATTTGTTCCATCTTGTATTTAGCTGTGACCAGGGCCGGCACCAGGCACCCAAGCTGGTGCTTGGGGCGGCACGGCGCTCCGGCCGCCGGGGAGAGCGGGGCCACAGCCGGGCTCGCTGCCCTCCCCCCAGCGCTCTGGCCGCCCTCCCCCGCACGCCCTCCCCCCGGCCGCCGGGGGGGGGAGGGGGGAGCCCCCACCAGGGCTCGCCGCCCTCGCCCCGGGGCTCCGGCCGCCCTCCCCCCGGCCGCCTGGGGCGGCAAAAAAGCCAGAGCCGGCCCTGGCTGTGACCCTCAGAGTACCTTTCCCAGACCCAAAGAGCTCTGTGGGGCTCGAAAGCCTCTCTAACCAACAGAAGTTGGTCCAATAAGAGATATAGCTCCCCCACCTTGTCTCTATCTTTGAACACTCAAAAACAGGGGTTCTGTTTCTTTTGGTTCCTCTCTGATTTGTAGAACTTTTTCCCCCCCCCCCACCTTTATGATAAGAGTTTGCTTTGGACTTGACACACCTAACTGCAATTTTTACTGTTTCCAAACCTTCCAAGTCCTGCTTATTTAGAGGTCCCTCATTTCAGCCTAATTGTAAAGGCAGATTTTGGTTTAAGTATTATGTTCTTTTGGTTGAAACAAAAGAATTTTTTTTCCAATGGGCCATTTGACAGATCTGCTGGCCCCATCCAAAACCACTGCTCTTATTTGTACACTCAAATCCCAATGACTTTCAATCACTATTTTACAGACTTCCATAAAACTACATGGCCACCTTCCCCCACTCCTCCCAGTGCCAGAGATCATGGTGCCCTCACTGGGTTGCATTGTGCCCTTTACCCCAGGGTTTAGAGCCAGGACCACCTTTCCTCCCTGGGCTGCAGCTCTTAATTATACTCCAGAGGGAATTCTGCATCAAAATATTAAAAATTCTGTGCCAAAAATACTAAAAATTCTGCACCTAGTATTTTAAAATTCTGAAAAATTCTGTATATTTTATTTGTCAATAAATAAATGTGAAGGCTCCGGCCAGGGCCGGATTTTGACATTCTGAGGCCCTAAACTATGTCAAGTGTAAAGAGGCCCCATACCGTAAAAAAAAAAATTTTTATCATCACAGAAAGGACATCAAATGTATAAAGATGAAAACTTTATATTTGCATATATACAAAGGCAAAGTTGTAAAAATAGAATAATCTAACTAAAACAAATGTCTTGCAATATGCCTGTTTGCATTATAAAATAGTTTCAAATTAACAGTTTCATCTGATTTCTTAATTAGTAGATATGAAAACTTTATATCTACAGCAACACAAAAGCAGTTAAAGTTACACAGACCAGCTTACTTAATGGAAGCAGTGCAACCTGCAGTAGGTCTGTTTGCACATCACATTAATTTTAACACAGAAATTTAAAACATTTTCTTCTGTGATTTTTGGAGAGCAAAGTCATTGATGATGTCCTCAAACAATAAGCTATGGAGTTTGTCACTTTTGAGGCACAGAATGCTTAGGGCAGATTGCCTAGAAAATGCTGCAAGAAAAGCTGACATCTCTTCTCGTTCGCTTCTCTTATCCTCTGTCTCCCTCAGGACGACTAATTTCAAATAAATACCTTGGGCACACAGAGTGACAACAAGCTATATGCGCGAAAGAGAAAAAATTTACCAGAAAAAAAAAAAAGACTGGTAATCTCTGAACAGGCATTGAGAAAGGGAGGAAAAACTAGCCTATATTTAAGCAAATATAATGACTATTATAGGCCTCAATAGCTTATAAATCAGGGGCACTCAAACTGGGGGAGGTCAGGACCCCTCAGGGGGTCCCAAGGTTCTTACATGGGGAGTTGTGAGCTGTCAGCCTCCACCCCAAACCCCGCTTTGCCTCCAGCATTTATAATGGTGTTAAATATATTTTAAAAAGTGTTTTTAGTTTATAAGGGAGGCGGGGAGATCGCACTCAGAGACTTGCTATGTGAAAGGGGTCGCCAGTACAAAAGTTTGAGAACCACCGCTATAAATCATACAGTAACTCCTCACTTAACGTCCTCCCGGTTAATGTTGTTTCACAATTAGGTCGTAGACCTATTAGAGAACATACTTCTTTAAAGTTCTGCAATGTTCCCTTATAACATTGTTTGGCTCCCCCGACTCTGCCCGCCCGGTGCTCCTGCCGGGGACCGGGTCGGGGCATGAGGGCAAGCCCCCATGCCCCTATCCCAACCCCCAGCAGGAGCCCTGGGCAGGCAGAACGGGGCAAGGCCCTGTGCCCTGACGCCACTCCCCGGCTGGAATGCTCGGCGGGCGGAGCAGGGCAAACCGCCGTGCCCTGACCCCGCTACATGCCTGCCTCAATCAAGCTTCACAATCATTGGTGAGTACAGCATTAAATTGTTTAAAATTATTTAAAACTTATGCTGTATATGTATAGAGTGTCTTTTGCATGGCAAAATATTTTTCCCTGGAACCTAACCCCCGCTTTACATTAATTCTTATGGGGAAATTGGATTTGCTTCACATCGTTTCGCTTAAAGTTGCATTTTTCAAGAACATAACTAGGACGTTAAGTGAGGAGTTACTGTATATGCACATAGTTTGAAATAACTTGCTCACCAAGTACTCAGAATATTTTGATATATATGTATATCTTCCTTCACTTCTCTCAAAACCTTCTATTTATCCTTTCGTCAGCACTCTCTGATATTTACTGTGAAGGTTCCCAAAACTGAAGGAGGGAAGCCAACACAAATGTATCCTCCTCAAGATCCACTTGACCCAAGTCCATAAGACGATCAGCTGCAAACTTAATCATGTGAAGCATGGATAGCGCATGAAGCAGAAAACGGCGTGCACACTAAAATACACAATTGTACATATGTACAGATCAAAAGAAGAAAACACACTAGCACTTAAGCAAATGAAGGAAAACAGGAGCGAAGGCACTATATGACTGAGCATGCTGGACCGTAAACGAAAGATGGCAGCCTTCCGGCTATTACCAGCCAAGGGGGACGCTAAACATGACGTCACTCCTAGGACGAGTCCCATAGAGTATGAGCTTGGCAGGATTGCTTCACGACACTACAGTCTCTGACCTCACATTTTTCCAGATTTCATCAGCAGTGATATTTATTTAAATAAGTTATGAAGGCATGGTTAGAATTTCACCAGCAGCACCTGGCCAACAAAACACTACCCTAGAAGACTGATAGCAGACTTACTCCTAGAAATACTAATTTTACAAGTGCAATTATCAGGAGGGTTTTGAGCCCTGGCCTCCCACCTATCAATAATAAACAATTAGTGAAGGGTAAGGGTATTTGTGTATTTGTCATATTTGAACAAAAGTGTCTATATTTAAAGAGAATCTTCTTTTTCCCATATCTCCTTTATTTATCAACTGATTTTGATAAAATTTGAAGTGGAGTCAGTTTTTTCTTTTTTAGAAGCCCCTCATATTGTGAGGCCCTGAGCTGTAACTTAGTTACTTTAGGCCTTAATCCGGCCCTGGCTCCAGCATGGCAGAAGGGAGCACAAGCCACTGGGTGCACAGAGGTGGGAGATCACCCTGCAGCACCCCTGGGACACGAACTCCGCGATGAGGCTACACCTGACCCTGACACAGCGCGAGGGTCGGGACTGCCCCAGAAACACCCTGGGGCCCTGCCTCTCCATGCCAGGTGCACCAAAATAGTGAGCGAGCAGGACAGAGTCTCGTAAGCCCAGCCCTGGTCCAGGTGTGGAACAAGCAGGCTCAGCCTGGCGGGATCTGAGTGTGGAGGGGCTTAGCAAGGGAGGGATCCAGGTGTGGGGTGAGAAGGTTCTGTGTGGGATGATCTGGATGCAGACAGCTTGGTGAGGGGTCCAGGTGCACGGGGGATCAGGATGCACAGGGGCTCATTGCAGGGTTCCATGTGCAGGGGAATGGGACTGTGCAGGGGGGTCCAGGTGAACTTGGTTGGGGCTCAGTGGGGGTGTGGGTCTGGATGTGGGGGGATGAGGCTTGGTGGGGGGGGTTGAGCACTGGGGGAGTGAGGCTTGGTGGGTCCGAGTGCAGCTGGTTGGGGCTCAGTGGGGTGGGGGTCAGGGTGTTCCAGGTGCAGGGGCTGTAGGGCTCCTTGGGGCACAGATGCTGGAACTAGGGGTGCTGCCACAGCCCCTGGTTTGAAGGGGTTTCCCTAATATACAGCGTTTACAGTTTGGTTCAATGGCTCTCAGCACCCCCACTATACAAACTGTTCCAGCACTCCTGCATTCGAGTGGGGGTTTGAGTGTGGGGGGGCTCAGCAGGGGACTGTCTGGGTGCAGGGGACTCTGGATGCAGGGGGTGGGGGTTAGGGTGTAGCAGGAGGGTTCAGCATGCACAGGGGTTGGCAGATGGGTGAGCAACTCCCCATACTGCGTGGCTGAGTAGTGATGGGGGCAGGAAGCAGGGGGGGATATGCAGAGCTTCCTGCAGCTGGGTGAGGTTTCTGGGAGGTGGGTCTGACCCAGCTGCTCCTTGCAGGAGAAGAGGAAGTCCCATTCTTCCCCCACTTCCCCAGGACTAGCAGCTGAGCCTGGTGCAGGGTAGGTGCTATTGGCTGGGGCGTCCCCAGCCCCATGCTCATTTATCTCTCCGCCGGCTACTCCAGGCCCCCAAAACTATGCATCTGCGCTGCTGGGGAGAGGTGTGACTGCTCTTGCAGCTTCCCTTTGTTTCCCCACCATTTCTCTGCAGGGGACATGAATTCTGCATGCGTGCAGTGGCACAGAATTCCCACAGGAGTAGAATTTACACTCGCCTTATGCCCTTTGTCCCCATCCTCCCTGCACTCTGAAGGTGCGGTGCTGGACATGCTCTACATGCCCAGAGAGTACGAAGAGAAATTAAAAAGGCTGGGACTGTTCAACTTGGAAAAGAGACAATATGATAGAGGTCTATACAATCTTGACTGGTGTGGAGAAAGTAAATAAGGAAGTGCTATTTACTCCTTCACATAACACAAGACTTAGGTCACCCAATGAAATTAATAGGCAGCAGGTTTAAAAAACAAACAAAAGGAAGGATTTCTTCACACAACACAACCAACCTGTGGAACTTGTTGCCAGGGGATTTTGTGAAGGTCAAAATTATAACTGGATTCAAAAAAGAATTAGATAAATTCATGGAAGTAGATCCATCAATAGCTATATCCAAGCTAATGAGGGATGCAACCCCTGCTCTGGATAGCCCTAGCCGCTGCCTGCCAGAACCTGGGAGAGACGGGGGAGGGATCACTAGCTGGTTGCCTGCTCTGTTCATTCCCTTTGAAGCACCTGACATTGGCCACTGTTGGAAGACAGGATACTGGGCTACCTGGACCATTGGTTCTTACGGTACAGGCAGCACCCACATCTGTCCCCTAATGCCCCACCATTGCACAGGGCAGGGGAAGGGGCCCAGGGAGATGAAGTCTGGGGCAGGGAGTCTCCCTGGTAAGGTCCCCAGCCCAGCGAGGGAAGGTTGGCGGGGCCTCTGTAGGGGCGCTGCAGAGGGAGGATCCGGGATGGGGCTGCCGGAGCGGGCGGGGCTCGGTACCTCTTGCAGTGGCCGGTGAGGCGGCAGTGGCGCTGCCCGTCGTGGTGCAGGGCGCCATCGCTGAGCACGGTGAAGCCGCCGGCGGGCCGGTGGCGCGGCGGGCGGAGCACGGCCAGCTGGTCCCCGCGCAGCTGGAAGCAGTCGGGCTGCAGCAGCAGCAGCTGGCGCAGCGGCAGCAGGGCCAGCTCGCAGTCGCAGGTCCGCGGGCCGCGCAGCTCCCCCGAGGAGACGGGGCTCGGGCTGGGCTTGGCCATGGCCATGGAGAGGACGCGGCAGCACGCGAGACGGGAAACTGGCCGGGGCTCGGTGCGGACGGCAGGGTTGGGGAGCCGGGCTGCGGCCCCAGGTACTGCCCCCGGAACTGTTCCCGCTTTATATATCCCCCTGCAGGCTCCGCCTCCGGCCGGAAACAACAGCCAGCAAATGCCACTCTCTCCTGCAGTGCCCCGCCTGGCTCCACAGTCCACCCGGCCTGCGCCACAATGACAAACAACCCAACCCCCTCACTCCCTCGGCCCGGCTCGCCCTATGCACTTCCCCATTGCCCCCAACGGGGCCCTGCCCCCTACACTCTCCATTGCCCTCAGCTGTGCCCTGCTCCTCACATTCTCCTCACCCCCTCTCAGCAGCTGCGTTCGTCCCCTCATATGCTCTCCAGCGGGGCACAGCCAGGCCCAGAGGGCCCTGATGCAAGAATAGGTTATCCCCGCCCTGCCCCTTCATGAGTATGAAATCTAACATTTTGCTTCCCTTTCCCATCGTGGAAAATCAGAACATATACCCCTCTTATCTGTACAAGATGTAACTCATCTGCACACAGAAATGTTCTGTTTACACAAAAAGAACAGGAGTACTTGTGGCACCTTAGAGACTAACAAATTTATTTGAGCATAAGCTTTTGTGGGCTACAGCCCACTTCTTGCATCTGAAGAAGTGGGATGTAGCCCACAACAGCCCATGAAAGTTTATGCTCAAATAAATTTGTTAGTCTCTAAGGTGCCACAAGTACTCCTGTTCTTTTTGCGGATACAGACTACACGGCTGCTACTCTGAAATCTGTTTACACATTTATACAGAATGCTCACTGGCAGTGATGTAGTGCTAAATTTTACAGTGCAGGAGCCTTGCAGAAGTTACCTCACATTGGTAATTCTGTCCCAAGTGAGATAATCTCCAAAATTTTGTATGAGATATCATAAGGTAAAGCACCCATATTGAAAACCTAACAGTTTTCCAGCAAAATTTTATCTAATTGAAAGTGTGCACAAGAGACTTCACATATTCGTAATAAATACATATATTGTATCAACATAAAACATCTGTAACTCAGCTTTTGGATGCCAAACTTTAAAATAAGTAGCAGGGCACATCCAAAGCAGGCATGTAGTTAGTCAAAAAGTCCAAGGTTTTCAGTCACCAGTGTATGACTCTAGTTTCAAGTTAGTACAACACTACTGGAACTAAATGCCTGGAGTTACATAGCTACAAAAGGGGAGTAATTCAATGGGGCTCAAGAACCCACAATTTTGCCTATGAAAAAAACTTGCAATCTGAGCACAAAGATCATTTGCTTTGCATTCATCAATCATGTGGCTGGGCATCAACTGCAAACAAGTGTTGTCACAAACGTTCAGACCACTTTTGAAAATGTGGTCTGCGTCACAGAAACCAAACAAAGGATCCATACTGCCATGCAATTAAAAACAAACTACATCCTCAGTGCTTTTTGGAGATAATGATAACTAGTCCATTTTGCATTACTAAGTCAGGACCTTATGTTACCAGATTTGCCCCTTACTTTGGAGTATGCTCATTTATTCGGGTTACTTTTCTGGGGAAGGGGATTCTGTAATCCTATCAATGTACTGCTTGTGTCACTTGTGTTTTCATATGGAGCTCTACTTCTCCCTTCTGCAAGTCCCCTCCCCATGGAGCTATCCTGCAGGACCTAGGTTCCCTAGGGCTGGGTTACTCCAGCCCCAGAACCGGATGAACACCCACACACACACACATACGTTAACAGAGCAAGTCTGAGCAGACCGGGTCAATCAGCACTGTCAAGCTGACCCCTTATATGTCTCTGGACTCACTGGGCTGGATAAAGCAGCACTTTCAAGCTGACTCTCCGTATATGCCCCTGGGCTCCATGGGCTGGGTCAAGCAGCACTTTCAAGCTGACTCTCCGTATATGCCCCTGGGCTCCAT